CTCTCCTCTCAGGTTTTTTCCCCACAGGCCCTGAAAACTGCAGTCATTAAGCCACTCTTAAAAAAGAGCAATCTAGACAGGTCACTAATGAGCAATTACAGGCCCATATCAAATCTCCCATTTTACGTAAAATCATTGAAAAGGCTGTTTTTCAACAGCTTAGTGCTTTCTTGGCACTAAATAACTTTTTAGATGTCTTCCAGTCAGGTTTTCGAACCACTGACTGAGGCATGCATTCATGACAGTATTTCAGTCTTAGTATTATTGGATCTCAGTGCTGCATTCGACACGGTCGACCACAACATATTACTAGACAGACTTGAAAACTGGGTTGGACTTTCTGGCACAGTACTAAACTGATTTGAATCCTACTTAAAGGACAGGGACTACTTTGTGTCTATAGGTAATCACACATCTGAGCTGACAAAATGACATGTGGAGTTCCCCAAGGCTCCATTCTGGGGCCTCTTTTGTTTAACATTTACATGCTTCCACTGGCTCAGATTCTGAAAAACAACAAAATATGTTACCATAATTATGCAGATGACACACAGATTTACATAACCATTTCACCAGGGGACTATGATCCCATACAGGTGCTGAGTAACTGTATTGACAGGTCAACGGCTGGATGTGCCAGAATTTTCTTCAATTAAACAAAGATAAAACTGAAGTTATTGTTTTTGGAGCCAGGGAGGAACCATTGAAAGTCAGTGCTCGACTTCAGTCTGTAATGTTAAGAACCACAAATCAAGCCAGAAATCTTGGTGTAGTCGTGGAATCAGACCTCGAATTTGAGGAGCCACATTAAGACAATTACAAAGTCAGCCTACTATCACCTGAAGATTATATCACGGATTAAAGGACTTATGTCTCAGCAAGACCTGGAAAAACTTAAGTATTTATCTTCATCAAAATTAAAAGAAATGAACACATGTATACATGATACAAGTTTCACTTTTTGAATCAACTTTTTGATGATATTCTAATTATATGACCAGCACCTGTACTCTCGGTTGGATGGCCTCCTCTAGCCACCCGAAGGCTATGTCATGGGTACACTTTCATATATATGGCAATACTTGGTCTGCTGCCAAGCTACCTACATGTTCATATCATGCAGAAAAGTTATGGCCGACACTCTTTACGTTCTCAGGACTTCTTTATGCTCTTTGTCTCAAATACCCGTACGGAAAGGGAAAGAAGGCATTTCTGTATTCTGCACCTATAGCATGGAATACGGTGCAAATCCAAAATGAAAGACTTAGAGGCAGATGCCTTAATATGTAAAGGCTCTTAGATTGTAAAAATTATTTTAAATGACTATGAAATTGGCTTGCTAGTCTTCTGTGTTATTTGCCTGTACTTATGCGTATTTTTTTTATATGCTTGCCTGTCTTGGCCAGGTCACCCTTGCAAAAGCGGTTCTTAATCTCAATGGGACTCTCTCCACCATAACGACTTGGCATTAGGACCTCACCGTAATGACTTAGCATTAGCATCTCAACATGACTTAGCATCTCAAAATAGAGATGCTGTGCAGCATCTGAACTCCAACACTCCATCCGTTCTTCTGCTGTTATTGAAACTCTTACCAAGATATTTAAAGGTTCATAAAAGAGCGGTTTGCAGCAGTCAGCTGTAAGCAGATACTGTGGGACTAATCCTGAGACGCCTGATCAATTATGACTGGGAGTTTTTCCAAATCCACTTATTTTATAAAATCTCATTTATAGCATAAATCCGAGGGAAGCAGGATCTCTGCTGTGAAAATACAGAAAGTGTAAGGTCCAGATAAAGTCAAGTCATTCCTCAAACTATCCCCAGGACACTGAACAGGCAGAAGTCAATATTTCCAGTCAAAAGAGGAGGTTGCAGAGGTGCAGGTGGTGATTGTATCGCAGCACTCAAACGCTGAGCAACTGCAGACAGAAACGCCATCCCTCCCTCTTCTGTACAGATCAACCATGTTAAACCACGATCCAGGGCCTTTTTGCATCATCACTGACAGTGTGACACATTGCATTGTGGGATAGCTAGAAAGCAGTGTGCATGCTATGGACTTTTTTTTTTTTTTACAAATTGTTGAGGGTTTTTTACTTTCATTTTATTTAACATTTATTTAACCAGGAAGAAGTCCATTGAGATTTTTCTTTTCAAGGGAGACCTGGCCAAGAAAGGCAGCAGTTATACAATCCAGCCTATAGGGAAACATCTCCCCCCTCCTTAAGGAAATCTGCAACCAGGGACCTAAACTCCCTAACTGGTACCAGCACCTCTAATTTGAGATCTTTGTAAGGAGTTCCATGTAAGCAGTTTTTCCTAACTTGAAAACAACCCTGGGCACCGTGTTGCCAACTACTGACTGAAGTTAAGGAGGCTACAAAGGTAACTGGTAGATAGATATACAGGTGTAACTGTCTACGTGGAGCTAGAGAAGAGAGAGGGAACCATAAAGTTTGACCAAGATGGCGGATTAGGTGAAACTCCTGATGCACCTGCTCATCTGTAGAACAAAACTGCGCTTCAAATGATCAAATTATTAGTTGGCATCTACATGGGCAAGTTGAAATACAGACTAAA